TACAGTGATTTGATTGGATGCTGCTTCATAACGTCTGATTTCCTGTTCTCAATCTTAGCTCTGTCTAGTTTTAAAGGAAGAAAATGGCAGCAGGTATGAAGTCAGTTGTCCTCAACAAAACTCATTTGCTATAAAGAAAGAAAGACCCTTCCCTTTTTTTCTGAAAAGGAAGGTGGTCTTTTCCTTTTCATTTTGTATAGAAGCCCAGCCTTTCAGACCCCCTCTCGCATTAACAGCACAAACCCAGACAACACTGAGTCTTTCACATCCTTTCCCTCCCTTTTCTCACAGGTCCATTTTCCTAAGGTGAAATTACATTACATTGACATTCTCCTTTCACAAGGAAAGGTCATCATTTTTTCGTTCCTGCTGCCACCCCTTGTCTGTTGTGTTAGTATGCGTTTTACAGAGAGCGAGGCTGAACAGTTTTAATTATCGCCTGGGAGAAGGCCACCCGCTGAGCTCCACAAGCCTGTTTTTGTTGGTGTATTGTACCTCTTCATTCTGCCTAGTGTTGGAGAGTCTCAGAGGGATGCGGAGGTAGGTTGGGACTTGAAAGAGGTCTAAAATGATGCTTTCACACTGACATAGTCTGGCCTGAGAAATGGCTCTCTAAAGCTTGTAAAAGTGTGTCCCTGGTGACTTCTGAAAAGTCAGCGGGGAAGGGGGGTTCTTTTTAAAGCAGCGCTGTCAAAGTATGCAGAGTTGTGGCTCTGCTTTCTGCTGTTTAACGGTGCTGGAGTTAGCAGTGTGTTTTATACAGACTTCTGTATTCAGAGTCAGGTCTGTAAACATGTTGCACAAACATAATCACTTCCTGTAAATCGCCAATGTGCTGTGTTAAGTGTGGGAATATAAATTGTTATTGGCTTTCTGGTTATCGAGGGTTCAGGTACATTGTAATAAATATTAATCCAAATAAACAGATATTCACACAAAAATAAGTCAAACATTTATCACTAAATGGTCACATGGACTTTTTGTAAGAGGCAAGATACATTTTTGTATAAGGATATGTGCTGGTAAGACTGTATGGCTCTGGTTATCCAGCAGCAAGGACAAACACTAACAAAATGAACAGATTTCTGACACGTAAAATATATTGTTGTACATTAAAGATTTGCAACTAATGAATACCTTTATTATTGATTAGTGTGGGGATGTTTGAGCAATCTATTGTTGAGATTATTCAGTTACTTGTTTTGTCCAATAAATAGTCCTTAACCCAAAGGTATTGAACTTGCAATTATATTAATCAGAAAAAGCAGCACATTTGCACATTTCAGAGACTGAAAACTAATAAATGGACGCTTTGATTGGTTGAATGACAATCTATTAATTGATAAAGATTACTTATCAATTATAGAATCGAGCCAGCCTTAATCCATGTATTTAATAGTCCACTGGGTTGTTATCTGCAGACATAACAAAATAACTCATGTTTATCACAAATCTCAAGTGCTATTGACCTTTGGGGTTGTTCATAATGGTGATGAGAGTGTTGCCATATGGTGAATGACATTTCAGCCTTAAAAGCTCTCCATTTCTATCTATGGTTAACAACATGCTCTCCTTCACATAATTATACCCAGAAGCTGTTCTGCCCTGCTGTAACAGTGGCACAGCCCAGCAAAGGAAACAAATGACTAACATAGTCCCTATTTTTAGTGAAGCCAACCATGGTTTAACCACAGGTTACACATATAGGTGGTTTGTTTAGATTCAAGGCAGCGTTACCATGGCATCATTGTGGTAGAGGAACACACTGGGTATCTTTCACTTCTGCATAACATTATAGAGAAGTGAGTCATATTGCTTTAAACAAATGTGGACCGTCATGTTGATAAAAGACAAGACACCATTGAAGAGGATTTTTATTTGCTTTTATCTATTTTCTTTGTTGACGGATACAATCGGGCCATCAAAAGTATCCGTAAACCTCAAATCTTTCTGCCGCATCTTCACACAAACTTAAAATATGCCTGAAGGGACTCTGACTCACAGGCACAGTCAAGTCATAGGACAAAAAAGTCGCCTGAATCTCTCCAATCTCCCTGCACTTGTGGTCAGCGTCTGTCTCTTCCGGACATGTGTCGCTAGATTGAGACCAAACGAGGAGGATGGAGAAGAGGAGGAGGAGGAAAGGGAAGAAAGACAACAGGGTAATTCATTCACTGGCTTGTGAAAGAGAGGAAGACTCGGTTTCCTCAGGACATATAAATACAAGCGCATGCAGTCATCAAATTATAGCCATCTGCATTGGCCCTGGACCAAGATTCTGCCTGACGCACAATAAAGTAGTGTGAGGAGGGGTGTGGTCGCTAAAGGGGATCAGACGCCGTCCTCTTCGGTGGTTAAACCTCCACACGAAGACTGACACCGAGCGTGGCAGCAGCTTCACAGCTTCAGGGGTGATCCTACACACATAATCATGGCTCAAAAACACCTCAGCTACATCCTATGTACACCAGGCCCCAAGACCCTTGACGATGAACAATTATAGTGCTAAGATCAAGAAGATGACAAGAGTCTTTTGATGCACATTCTAGCAAAAGTCAAAAGCCTCACGTGGGTGTGTTTTTCCGTCCTGTAGATGAGAGGAAGTGTTTGCACACCTGTATGGACACAGAAGAGGTGCAAGAGTGGAGAGACAAAAGAAGTGTAACAGAGTAGGGCAATTACACAGATATATTGAAAATGTGCTTTTCCTACACAATGCCAATTCTGAACAGAGCTTTGCAGAGCTTAGATGGGGAACTAATGATTTCCAGGTCCAGGTACACTGCAGAGAGCAAAGCTTTTGTGTGTATCATTAGAAAATGTGCTCCTTTTCCTCAAGGCAACTGCAGCAAGCTGAATACGAACCAGAAAATCCCCAGGCAGAATTGTCTTGGCATCGCTCTCTCCTTCAGCTTCTTATCCCCATGCTCAGCGAACAATCCGACAAAAGCCCGGGTTTAAGAACCATGGAGCTCATTGCGATTTTCTTTGTTAATGCAATTGCCTGTAAGAAAAGATTCTCTTCCCCCATTTTTTCAGTTTCAGCCTGAAGGCTCTTGTGCAATTAGCAGTATTTCGTTTGAAATACCTTCGCCTTACAAGAAACTCTGAACTATATCATAAGAGCCTCTGGCATAGTTAGTAAAAGCTAACGTCAATAGCCCCTGAAGAGTGACATTGTGAAAATAAATGCTTGTGATAATTCCTTCGATTCAGTAATACACATACAATGAGCATGTTCAGCATCATTTTGAATAACCAGGAACGATCTTTAGTTTTTAAGTTTTTCTCTAACTCCTTTCAGAACATATTTGAGAAATTGCATAATATGACAAAATGTGATAATGTCAAAGAACATTTCCTGTGATATTTATTTCTGAGGGATGCCCGAATGACGTTTATTCGGCTGCAGGAGACCAATGCTGTGCAGCAGTGTAATTGAATGTCTCTGAGTATTTGTCCTTGTGCTGAGACTGTTCATCACTGACTTTGTTCGTGACAGTTCAGCCTTGAGACCAAAAGCAAACACCTCTTAGCTAAATCACAAAAGCATGGGCACAATGATAAAAGCTCTGTTTCGTCCTTGCAGACATCAAAATAATTGTCTTTGTTCCAGTTCTGGGATGGAGGGGTTCATTTGCAGGATTGGAAAACCAAAGGACAAATGTACCCTCCAGTGTTTTTGAAGTTGGCAGCGTGGCGTTAATGTAGATGCAACACAGAGACAAGCTGCCCTTCAAAGGCACACATACACACACATTTGCTCCCACACTTCCTAATAGAGTCTTCAGGAAATACTTTTTCCATTTATAGCTATGAAAGGGAATGTTTCGTATCTTATCTGAGAAGTTATTTAGTAAGATCTTTGCCTCTTTGGAATCGAGCCCTGCTAGGCTACTAGATGCTACTGTTGATTTTGATAGAATATTTTGGTCCACATGATCTCAGAGGAATGTTCTATCTTCGACACAGCAATGCCTCGCTCTGCTTCACTATTTCAGAGCATTAGCATTGTGTGATCAGAAGACTGCCTTCTTCGCTATGTTCCAATGAGATGCTGTCTCTTGTCCCCTGTGAGGATGAGTGGGTGGCTAATGGAAAGCCCCCTTTCTATATCTCTTGGCTAACACCATGGAAAACGAATGCTGAGGAAACGGAGGTCTTGGAGGTGGTCCAGTTTAATTTCAGAGCATGTGCACTGGGAAGTAATTGACTTCCTCCGTGGTTTACATTTTGTCGAGGGCCTCGCAGAGCACAGTCCGAAGCAGGTGGCTGAATTTGCATTTCATTGGAAACTTGACAGCTCAAGCCTGGGAAATCCTGCACCCCAGGAATCTATATGCCCGGAAAACCTCTGCAGGGGTAATGACTGATGTCTGAGTGAGAGAATCCCTTTGAGGCCAGAGAGGCTCCCCTCAGCCAGGAGCAGCTGTAGGACACCTGATAATATACAAATCAGTCGTGAGCAAGTTGCACTGTAACGTGAGATGCAGATAAATGCTCATAAACAGTCATTGGTTTCTCCCACATTAGAATTCACTGTGTTGCCATTCTGCAGTTGTAGGATACATTTATAGCATCTTATGCACAAGTGTGATGTTGCTAAAGGAATGCAGTGATCTGTGAGGTCAGGCATTTTTATTTTTTATGGAAAACGGAAAAAGGTGGCCTATTTGTTTTGATTCAAAAATGTAATTCTGAGGAAAAATGCGTATTTCTAGGGTGACAAACCGTGAACAATTCTGATACGTTCCAATGCATAGCATTGGAGCAGTGATAACAGAGAAGCGATTGTTTGCAATACAATTATTTGGCCTCCGGCACTCTACAACAAAGCTAATTAAATATTATCCATAAAGAAATGGAAAAAGTAAATTAAAAAAGAAATCATTTGTTGGTCACAGTAGGGAAATTTAAAATATATAAATTCAAATAAGATATGAATCAATTCGTTTTGTAAACATACATTTTCAAAGCTGACTTTTTTTTCCTCTTCACAGTATCCTACTTTGGGGACAGCCACTGCAATGTACAGACCTTCCAAGATGTCTCCTCCTTCCACCTGTCTCTGCAGATCAAGACGAGTCGGCGCAGCGGGCTGCTGCTACTGGCTGCAGGGGAGGAGGACTACCTGTTCCTTGAGCTGCAGAATGGGAATATCCAGGTGAATGATTAACAAACTGTGGAGAAGTCTGAAATGTTTTAGTTAACAAAATAAAAATATATTTATAGATCTGCCAAAATCACAACATCTCGGAAATGTGTATAAAACTGTAAATAAGTTAAAAAAATAAAAGATAACACATCATCACCATTTTATATAAATAGTCTTTACTGCCAGTAAAGAGTGCAGTCAGGCACAAAAATACAAACATTTGTATTCAACGTTGTTGAAGTTGGCGTCAAGGTAAGAAGGTTCTTGTTACCACCAATAATGATTGAACCAAACATAATTATCGAATGATATGCATCAAAAATATGATAAGTGAATACTTTAGCTGTGTATTTGACCGTAAAATGACACCTTAATTGGTAATAGAGTTTTCAAAATCATTTCAAAAGCCCAGCAGAAGTTGCCAAAGGCATAATGGATAAGCATAAAATATAAGAGTGAAAATGCTCGGCATATAAAAATGGAAGAAATGTTATTATTCCTTTCGATAACAACCTCATCAATAATTTGCTATACAATCACTAAAACATTACATATGAAATGTCTTACTTCTTGGCATTCATCATTTATTTATTAAAAATGCAGATCTCTGTTGTGAGGACACACATCACAGTAAATGGATGTTGTAACTTGTACTATTTGTTCATTTTGCGGAAAACATTTGCTTCAAACATTCGAAATAAATCCCATGGATGTGCAAATATTTAGTTTTTTAAAAGTATGAATACAACAATTAAATATGTTTGTTTTCCCTTAGGCTCGGATGAACATGGGGAAGGACGAGGTGACACTTTCTTCATCCCAAGGAGTTCAGCTTAACAACCTTCTGGAGCACAAAGTCTCCCTCACACTGCAAGACGGCAAACTCACCATGACCATTGATGAGCTCTTCTCGACGTACGTTCCTGTGGAGGATGATAAAGAACTGCTAAATATTGACCGGGGCATTTGGCTTGGAGGAACAGGAGACTTGAATACTAACTACCTCAACAATGCCATTCCCCCTTTCCGTGGCTGCATGACTGAGGTCAAATTTGAGTCCCACCAGTTTGATATCCTCAGCGCAGTGTATAAAGACTGCCATCACACGAAGGAATCCTGCAGCACTGAGTTTGAAGCTGGTGATGGGGAGGCAATTAGTTTCAGCACTCCTGATTCCTTTGTGTCTTTCCCCACCTGGAGCGGGGCTAGTGGTGCCCCGAGGGCCCTCGAATTCCTAATGAAGACAACCATCGAGGATGCTCTACTTCTTTTCCACCCTGGCAGAGAGTCTGACTTCGTAGCTGTTGGTGTTGTGAAAGGCTTTCTCAAAGGTATGCTGGATGTCGGAAATGGCTTGGAGATCCTGGAGAATACCCAGGTGCAGCTGGATGATGATCAGTGGCATAGAGTTAAGGTTGAAGTCAGTCCGGATTCATTTGTCATCAATGTAGATAGCCAGTCTTCCTCCCTCCCTCTTGATTCATCACAACAATTGGACTTGGTTGGAAACTTGTATTTGGGAGGCATCCAGGGGAGAATGAAGGATGTGTTTCGTGAGAGCGGGTCCTTAAGTCAAGTAGAGGAAGAAATGACAGCCGAATCCTTCATTGGTTGTTTTGGAGAAATCAAAGTTAATCAGAAGTATAGAAGCCTGCAGGATGCTTTGATCACCAAAGATATTCATGTTAAATGTGAAGGAGAGGACTATGACTACTCAAGTTACGATGACACAGACTCAACTACAACTTCTCCCCCTGTTCAAATCAAATATGCTGATATAGACATCATTGATCAGCATTGCTATCCAACAGACGACACACCAGAGATATACAGAAATGTAACGAAACTTCTTGATGTCACTACACTAATCGTGCCTGAAGGTGGAGAGGCTTTAATCGATATCAACAACCTACTCCCCACATTTAACCTCAGTGCTGCAGGACTGAGAGAGTCTCAGATCATATTTACTCTCCAGACTGATCCCCTGTATGGCTTGGTTGATATGAACACAAACACAAGACGCACACAAAAGTTCACTCTTCTCGATATTGTCGAGGAGAAGATCAAGTATATGCATGATGGAAATGAACGGCATACAGATCAAATCCAGCTGCAGGTTGTTGTTCAAAGTAATGACTTCCTCCCTGAATGTTTGAAGACTTCTCAGGAGTATGTCCTTCCAGTTGAAATTATTCCCTTTAATGACATACCACAACTTGGTGGAGGAGAAATCACCCTTACAGCAAACGGAAGAACTCGTTTGAGTCCAAGCCTTATTAAAATCGTAGATTCTGACAGCCGCTGTGATGAATTAGCAGTAACTGTATCCTCAGAGCCTCCAGTGGAAGTTGGTTACTTAGAAAACAGTCAACAGCCAGGAAGAAGCATCTCAGAGTTCACCTGCAGAGAATTGAAGGATGGAAATATCTATTTTGTTCACAGAGGGGGTAGTGCTGTTGAAATTACCCTGGAGGTGTCTGATGGACAATCAGAAAGCCATTCAACTACTTTAAAGTTTTCTGTGACACAGCCACATATGACTCTTGTCACCAACACTGGCCTCCACTTGGTTCAAGGAACAAACACGTCCATGGGTGTTCAAAATCTTGCTGTCATAGCTCATCCGCGTAATGGAGATGCCATGTATAACATCACTAAGCCTCTGATACTTGGAGAACTTCAGATAATGACAAGCGATGGAATATACAGGCAGGTTACAACTTTCCATCAGTCAGACCTAGATCAAAATCAGCTGAGATACATTAGCACAGACTCGAGAAACCAGGAAGAAACTGTGAGCGAACAAATTCAGTTTGATGTCCACTTGGGGAGGTTCTCCCTCTGGAACAACATCTTCTTAGTCAACATCATCCCTGCTCAAGTAAGAGTTACAACTATGGTCCCGCTGGAAATGGAGGCTGGTGAAGAGCAAACAATTGGATCCACAGAGCTTCAAGTTGAAGTGATAGGGGAAAACGTAGACCCAGAAACTGTCAAATACATCCTTGTCAAGCTTCCAACACTTGGCAGTCTGCAGCTGTCAGACACAGAGTTGGCTGTGGGTGACATCTTCACACAGAAGGACATTTTAGAAAATACAGTTAGCTACAGGGTGCGTGTGCAAAGAGCTGTGGATAGTTTAGACCAGTTCCAGTTCAGAGTCATGGCGAATGATCGGTATTCCCCTCTGTACACCTTCCCAATTACCATCCTTGCCAACGCCGATGCTCCAGTTGCTTCAGTTTTGACCAATGAAAAGCTGTTTGTGTTGCAGGGTGGTGAGCATACTCTGAACAACAAATTCCTTTGGATGCACTCTCCAGTTTCTACAGATATTGTGTACCGAGTCACACAGGGTCCAAAGTACGGAAGATTGATAAGGGACTCCCCTCCCGGGCAGCCTAGATTTGAGGGGGCAATAAGAGTATTCAGTAATGAGGACCTCCAATTTGACAGGCTTATTTACAAGCACGACGGCTCCAAGACAAGCAGTGATGAGTTCCGTTTTTCAGCAGAAAGTCAAGACAATCAAGAAACAATAAACGATGTTTTCAGGATAACCATCCAATCCAAGAACGAGCATGCTCCTGTGAGGGTTGTGGACAAATTCTTCAATATCGTCCGCCACGGTCAGCGCCTGCTAACAACAGATGTCATCCAGTTTAAGGACGACGACTCAGGTTTCAATGACACTCAAATTGTCTACGCCCGTGAGGGAATCCTCTCAGGAAACATTGTCTCAACATCTAATCCCTCGCAGCCCCTTTTCCGTTTCACACAAGCCGACCTGAGAGATAAGAAGATCCTCTTCATTCACCACGGAGCAGACCGGGAACGCTTCCCGCTGCAGGTGTCAGATGGCTTTCACAAGACCACTGCGCTGCTTGAAATCCAGGCAGGTGAGCCCTACCTGCGAGTTGTAAACAACACAATCATTGTCATCGACCATGGAAGCACCAAGACCCTTAACACCACACTGTTGAGCGCTGACTCCAACATGGACGTCAGAGATGACAGTGAGATCAAGTTCCAGATCACAACGCCACCCAGCAACGGCAAGATTATTGTGAGTGGGATTGAGTCTTCAGAGTTCACCCAGGAGGACCTGAAAAAAGGAGTCATTTCATATGAGCATAAGTACGAGAGTCTGAGGTCCAAGGACTCCTTCGGCTTCACCGTCCAAGCAAGAGGACATTCTGAGGACGGCACATTTAGGATAAGAATATTCAAGCAAGGTTACTTCTCTGAGCCTGAGTTGGTGAACAATAAGGTCATCATTTCCTATGAGGGAGAGCACACCGTAATCAACCAGAACAATCTCAAGGTAATGTTTACTGACCCCTTACATTACATTAAGTTGAGCAAAACTCATTAGTTTTTGCTAACTAGAAGATGTTCATCTGTGATTGAGAGCTACAGTTCACATATTTAGACATTTATTCTACAACACACATTTGTTTTTATTAATCTAGACAGCATTTCACACAATTTGGCAGGAATTATCTGACACATCTTGTTTTATTCAAGTATATGTTTCTCTTTGTGAGACATGACTAATTTCAAGCATACTGCCCTGTTTTGTAACCCTGTCTTTAATCTACATTACCACCACATGAAAGCAGGGCTAAATATGACTGTGCAGTTGCTGCTTTTAATCTAGTTTATGCACTAAATTGCAGTCTATTAAGTGTGGAAAACAGAGCACTAAGTATCCCCTGAGGAGCTTCCTGGAGCCCACTTTAATTTATAGGATGAGCGTGCCTGCACTTCATCTTGAATGTATTAATGAGGTCAAAATGCTCGGTCAATTCCTGACACATTCTCAGTATATGTATTTTTGACTTAAAATAGGGAGGGACATTTCTGAAAGTAAAATATTCTTTTAAGAATTTTATCGTAAACATTTGAGATCTCCAGTATTGTCTCAAACCCAAACACATAATACACATGTTGTTTTGAACAAAGATTTTAAAACACTGGGCTTTTCAACAATTTATTGACTTGGCTTCGGGGAGATTTTCCAATGTGTTTGCTTTCTACGAAATTAAAAAGTAGTATGATCTTTTGAATTATGCTCAAATGCAAGTACTGCACAATTGCTCCACACTCCTTCAAGCTCCAGAGAGTTTATTGAATCCTCTCAGTGGGATGACTATAAATCTGCAGCATGACTTTAAATGTTACCAAATGTCTTTTTGTTCACCATGCTATCACAGCGTTCCAATCAGATGTGCTACTTGTAACATTAGGTATTGTTGCAGCCAATTTGATGTATTTTAATATGTGTATATGAAGGTGCTGTGATACTACTGAATTGACCTGGGCATAGGGGCGGGGACTCAGCCAATTTCAGGGTACAGCCTACTATTTGGGGAGGACACAGGTGCACAGCATTAGGGATTGGGAATCACCAGAGGGAAGCCACACAGTTTTTCAACCGTGCGTGTTTTCGCTTATTTTCTGAGTTAATTTCGGTTTATTTTCTTTATCACAGTTAGTTGTTTAGTTATCAGTTAAACACCCGGCTCTTGTTTTGCTGCCATCATCCTGCAATCCAAATAAACATCTTAAATGCACTCAAAGAGAAGACCTGATTTGCTGTCAACACCACGCGTCTGGAAAAGCTTCACACCATATCCCTCACTGGCAAATATTTGTTGTTTGGTTGCCTTTACAGGTATGATGTGCAACAAAGTTGACAGTGGCCTATTTCTGTAGTGAAGTGTAGTGTACTGACATTTACTTACAATACTGCTCCTGTCTTCAAAGCCAAATCTCTCTAATATAATTTCAACATTGAAACACTGCTGTCAATTTCTAAGGAAAACAGAATTTTAAAGTTGTATGAGTTTATTTGATATGTTTTACCATCTGTCACTGGAATAGTTGCACAACATTCACTTATTTCTGCCGTCTCTGAGTATTTACATGCATTGAGAGACAAAAGTGTCTATCATTACCAAGGGTAAAAAGTCAAACTATTTTATTGTGTATTAGCCTATTTGGGTATATTCAATTTGTCAGAAAGCTAAATAGATCCACTTCAACGCACACTTAGATGAGCACATTGACATAGAAGACGTTAAAAATAACTTTTTGTGTCTTTGCTTTTTAGGTGGATCAAGCTGATATACTTCCTACAGAAATGCTGTTCACCATTAAAGAGTCTCCTCGTCTCGGACATGTGGTGAAGCTGACCAACAACTCGGACAGCCCAGACTCGCATGTCCTCGACTACATTCACTCCTTCACTCAAGAGGACATTAATCAGGGACGCATTCTTTATGTGTCTGCATCCATCCAGGTTTGATGTCATTTAATTTATTCTGTGGTAGTAAATCAGCTGTGGCAGCTTGTTCCCTTTAATATTCACACTGAGAGTACAATCGGACAAAAGACAACCTCAGCCTCTGATGATGAGTCAAAGGTACAAGGTTTATTTTTAGTAGATCAATAACTTACTTGAACATCCATCTCTTTCAGGGCAGTGACGCCTTCACAGTTGATGTCAGTAATGGTTTCACTACAGTGGAGGACCTGCGCGTCTCTGTAAACATCGTGCCGCGGATCATCCCCATCCAGACCTTCAACTTCACAGTGAAGGAAGGCCTCAGTGTGGCGATCAATGCAGAGATTGTTAACATCTCACATCCCTTCTACAGCTCAGCAAACATCGAATTTCTTGTTGAAGAGGCACCAAAGCACGGGGACCTCCGTTACCTGGATGGAGACGAACTTGATTACTTTACATGGGAAGAGGTACGTTATGATATGATGAAATCCAGATAAATATTCCAACAAAATCTGACCAAAGATCTCTAAACATCTTGATCCTTATTCAAGTTATACTGCATACACTTTTTTATCATTGATTGAGTTTGATGACCATCTTATTTCATTATACAGTACTAGCTTAATTGATAATGAGCAGTGTCATTGTGGCCTTTGTCAATGTGTGTACTTACATGTATTAACCTCTATAATTACATGTTATCTGCATATTAGTCAGGCATTTTTAACGAAGCAGCCTCACCACAAACTACTGTAACATAAATGGGAGTACATGCTGATGGATCATCTTACATTTTTTTATTATGTTTTTCCATTTGGTTTCCCTTGCCTGATTTTTTTCCACTCAAATGTCTGACATTTGTTTTTGCCCTTTTTATTAAGCCTGCATCATAAAACTTTTTATGGGTTTTTATTTACAGAATGGTTGGTTTGACCATATAAGCACATGTCTATGGTCTAACCCCACTACAACGTGGACATTTTCTCTTGTGCCTGCATTTTAGGGAACCTTATATTTTAGTATGTCTTGGGCCAAAAACTTCAGAGAACAACTAAAAAACAACCAATAATTCATATTAAATACTCTCTAAATCAGTGGTTCTCAACTGGTCAGGCCTCGGGACCCACTTTTTACTTGGTCAATACATCGCGACCCAACATTTTTAAGCACTCAAATCTATTCAACAAAAAAACGTGCTGTAATATATACGCTTTTCAGCATACAATATTAATACAAGTGAAGTACAGTGCATATATCCCTTATATTCCTTCACAGAGCTAAAGGATGCTTTTAAAAAAGGTTTAATGAGATGATGGAATCAAAGCTGAACTATATAAAAAGGCACACATGCTGAAAAACCAACCCAGCAGGGGGGTCTGGGGGGATTCTCCCCCAGGAGATTTTTAGAAATACTAACATAAACTATGCATTNTCAATCATCAAACCGGGGGTCATATTTCATTATGTGTTCATTTTTATCTGAAGTTGTACCCATGGATGTATAAAGAAGAGTTCTACCGCAAAGTTATTCTCCGTGGGGACTTCCGGCAACCACCTTGATTCTGATTGGCCAGAAGACTCGAAAAAACATCAGCAAAGATCTTTTATTGGGAAGATGATTTATGGTCTCCGGTACTTCCAGTCCAACGCCGACTGCATGCACAGCGTTAGAAAATCGGGCCTTCAAAATGAAAGTTTGACTTTTTCCCCCCAAAAAAAGAAAAAAAGATTTCCAATTTTTTATTTTTTTTATTCACTCACACATCCGGGACCCACTCGAAACGGGTCCGCGACCCACCAGTTGAGAACCACTGCTCTAAATGACTCCAGGGAGTATAACATCTCTCAAGACTAGATCATTTGGCTGTTGAGGAGGATTACACAGTACGACTTCCCCATGAAACTTTACCTGGTTACTTCTCAGTGCTTTGTTGGATGTGTTGTTTTTTTACAAGACAGAGAGGAGAGAGGGAGAACACGGGAGCTGCTACATCACAGTTATCTGTTCTCTTTCTGTGTGAGTCAGGGTCCCCAGCTAAGGGAAAATATGAAAAATGTATGCGTAGTTACTGGTGAAAAACTCCTTGTGCATTCTGAATGGACCACATAGCTTACTGGAGCTAGTTAGAGACATATCATATTGCTCCTACATGTAGCCCCAGTATGCCTCTACTCTGCTTTGCTGCAGGATTGTGGAAAAACTGATGATGCCTTTGGACTGCCTGAAGCCAAAATAAACTGGCCTGGTATATCCCTATAATAATGTATGAGTGGCCACAAGTCCCGCGCTTTCCTACCATCCGACTCACTCATACTTTATTTCAAAGATCCCAATGTAAATTTCAAATGGGTTTTAAGCATAATGATAACGTAGGTAGCAAGGAAGCATATCATTTAACATTTCCTTAACTGCCACTATAGACATGTCCCAAAGACAATACATTTTTGTATTTGTGTTGCTTTTTTATGTGGGTACTGTTTTACTGTTTTCCTTATAAACATACAAAGGAAACATTCATTCCTCCCAAATGAGTACCACATTGGAGAATAAATGTTCTAGCCACAGCCGGCACTAGGTTTAAACCAGACCGTAATTGCTTCAAAATCAAAGTTGGATGTGTCTTCATTTTTCTGTAGTATAGGTTTTTTTTTTTCCCTACTGTATGTTTATTGTTGTTTCAAGCTTTTTTTCAAGCCTCTCGTGACCTCGGGACAGGACACTGGATTAACTGGTGTGTGTAGTAATTGTGCGATAAACTCACCAATTGGGGTAGTTCACTGAGGTTATGTAAGCGTACATTAACATTGTGGGTGTGCAGTGAGAAAAACTGAGAGTGTTCGTGAGTGTCTTCATCAGAAAATCGACATGAACACTAACCACAAGAATGTAAATTTACTGTACAGTAAGCTATGTGCCAGTTGGCCAGGATGTGTCACATACTGTACTGTAAGCAGAGATTCTGTGTCAAACAATGTTAGGCATTTTCCTAACCACAGAGCCAACTACGATTTATTCCATCTTTGAACAAGAAAGTTCCAAGCACTTTCAGTTAGGCATCATTGAGTGGGATCCAACCTGAGGGGAAATAGGACATCTGAAACACTTTCCTCCAATACACCTTTACTCTAATCAGGTTCAGCTCTCCATCGGGTCTCAATTACGTCCTCCATCTGTGGAAACCTATTAAAGTCCACACACACAGGCATCTTTTTTTTTCACAGAGTACAAAATGTTTTCGGAACAAAGTCTTCTTGAGTTTACATAATTAATTTTCCAAAATACAGTAGGCACACAGAACTTGATGGTATACATCAATCAAAACTCAAAATAAAATAAACATTGGCAGAGGCATGAATCTTTCTCTGCAATCTTAATGCCACGTGTCTAACAACCACCCACTGTTTATTGTCCCAGCGAGCAGACTGATTGTCTCGCTGGCTTTCCCCGATCAGTACTGCTGATGGGGGTTGTTATTCCAGAAGGATGCCCGTCACATGGGATCCATTTGGCACTTCCTGCTCTCTGAAGCAGGTCCCCCCATCACAGCAGCTTACTGGCTTTTGTCAAGACAAAGTTCCAACTTTCCTCTTTGCACACAACAAGGATCCTGAGTGTTGAGGTAGTATCAGGTGTGATTATGTGATCCAGATACCTTAGGACGGAGAAACAAGATATACAAGATGCTGGCTGCTGAAAGTCCTGTTCTGTATGCAGAAAATGAACAGAGTTGGCTTGGCCTGGCCGCAGGTGCTGTTCTCTATCTAGCCCACTTCAGACTGAATGACTGATTCTTTTGTGCATCTGGTTTCCCTCAAGGTTTCATCCCATAAGAGATTCTCCTTGTTCTTGTGCTGCTGCCAGACTTTAAGAACTGATTATAGCCTCTATCTCAAAAGCTTTGAAAACATCTATTATCTGTTTAGGTCAACAAAAGATATATTGGATACCGTAAAGAAATATAGGTCTGTTAGAAAAAGGGTAATTGTGTTTTCTTGTTTACTAGAAACATAGAGCCTTAAGGGAATTGTTTCACAATGTGTGATCAGTCTGTTAAATACCAGACTAAAGACAGTTAGCTTAGCTTTGAAAAAAAGCTTGGAACAGGATGAAAAAGGTAGCCTCACTCCATTGAAAAATAAATCCAGCACATTAAAAGTTCAATAACACGTTATAAACGGTTTCTTTTATCAAACAAAAGCTAAGCAACAAGTTTCCTTTTTATGCTACAGTCTGAGACAAAAACTCATGTTTACCTACAGGATTCAATTACTCAAAAATTGGGTAATACTATGCCGTTATTCTAGATCAATTAGGCGCTTTCACACCGGAGTACTTTTCCCAGTATAGTTCCGATATAGTTCCGAAAATGTGCATTCACACCAAAAACATCCTGAACTAGAACTTAGTTCATGAGAACATTTTCACCCCCTTTTCACTCCCTTCTAGAGAGCAGGGACTTTAGGCGCGTTCACACCGCAGCACTTTTCCCACTTTAGTTCCGATATAGTTCCGAAATGTCGGCAGTAGAAGCTTCTGGGAGTCCCAGCAGCTTCTACTGAAGCCAGTCGCCAACTCCGGGGACTTCCGGCCGGGGACTTTGGGTGGCAGTATACGCCATCCGTGAAGTTGTTTGCGGCCTGCCAGTAAACCCAAAGCAGAAGAATAAGAAGTGACGTCAGCGGCTTCATTTGCCTAATCCTCCCTCAGAGACTTATTCTGGTGTGAACGCGATCTGTACTTAGTTCATCAGAACTAAAGAGTTCTGATGAACTAAATTCTGATGAACTAAGTACGGCAAAGTACTTGGTGTGGAAGCGCCTACTGTTTCTAGTCATTCGTTGTTTATTAAAATGCCCTCAGAGACAAGATCAAGCAAGTATTATATACATATATATAAGTGGACCAACTTTTGCTTATAAGTACAATATAAAAAAAAGTCCTGCATATGGAGATGACGGATAGAAAGTGATATAAAGGCATACTCTTGAGATGAACTGCTTCCATAAAGTTGGTGGGCTCACAAAAGACAGATTCATAAAACAATGGTAAAAATTGAAGCAGCAGAGGAAGAGATGTTCTGACTTTTATTCCCAATAGGTCTAAACCCCCTTAGATCCTAGATCCTTTCTTTCCCATATTGCAATCAACAGGATCTTTTTGTCAGATACTCTCAGTCTAGAGAAATCCCTCGAGTTTCAAACTCCCCTTTGTAACGCTGGCTTTCTATTGTAAATTTGTCTCCAAGCCAAAGCTGAGATAATTAGATCCCCCAGAGCCACAGAAGAGAGATTATTCATTATGTTTTCACAGGCAGAGAAGTCTCCGAAATGATTATAAAACTGACTATCATCATGAGTGAAATTTGAAATTCCAAGTATCAGAACAAGGAGAAATATCTGAGAGGATTGTGCATCGAAATATTGCAATCAAATTAAGAATTTGACAGAGGAACAAAGCAAATTGGAGTTTCTTCTGACTTTCTTTTCAGTTTGTAATGGTTTACCAGGATAGGATGGTTTGGGGTTTCTTAAAAGTACTATTCTTTGGATATTGTCACACTGTTAAAATTGTATTCCACCTTTTAGGCTCACGCCCGCTGTCTATTTTATGCCTTTCCAACAATTAAGTTCTGATTCAAAATTGAGTGACAGTTGGATCCTTTTCTTCTTCTGTCTTCTTCAGATAAAACTTGGACACATCTACTACATGCATGACAGCACTGAGAGCACAGAGGACAGTTTTACACTCTCTGCCTCGGCTTATGAGATCGACCGCCGGAGCCTCCCTGTCACCATCTCAGTGACTGTCATAGCAGTCAACGATGAGCCGCCAAAACTGACACGTAACACGGGACTGGAGGTAATGCTTTGCTCTTTTTGCTGCTACTTTGAGCTTTCCTCCAACAATTGTAAAAGTTGCTGCTGTTGGAAAATGTTTCTAGCTATAAAAAGTAAACTTTTAAGTTGTTGGAGTCTTTCATTTTCCTGTAGCTCTTTTCATGTGATGAGAATTCAAGCTGACCACAAGCGTCGCTTTGTATGAGGAAGGAAAGAACACGCTTTTTATTGCGACCTTTCAAAACAGGGGAGTATTTTATAATAAGAAGATGAAACTTTGGAGAAAATAAGTTTTCTTCCCCACAGAGTTCCAGTTTTCATTTCATTTCATGTTACCTTTGTGTATATATTTGCTTTCGTTCCTGCAATAAGCTGGAAATAAGAATGAAGAACATGTGATAACTGTAGGCATTCCCACATGATCAAGACTTTGCATGATTGGTCTGATGCCCAAGTCACTCAAAATATGAAAAAAAGGCATATACAATACAATTGGCTTTAGGGTGATAAATGAGGTTCTGACATGTTAAGAAGGGGTAATAAAAACTTCTAGCAGTGATTTAAAGAGGCCCTATGTGTGCATGTAAATGATCATGTAACTGACATGATGCTTTATTTTAATTAAGAAACAAAAAATAAGTTTAACTGCCAATTTAGAAGTCACGATAATCACAAAGACTTAAAAGGCCTTGTGTTGTATGGAATAGTTTCCGGTAGGTTCAAGTTGATCGAAAATCGTATGTTTTAATAATGAATGAAATCTGAACCCTGGATGAAATCTTTTCACATCTATACTGTATATCTTGAACTGCAGTGTGCCGTAATGAATCCTGAATGAAGTGAGAATAGATTTACTTCATACCTCAAGTATAATAAATGCAGAGTTTTTACTTGGAAGCAGAAACATATTGACCTCCCTAACAATTACACATGCTGCATCATTTCAGCAGTGGCCTCCACAGTATATTTGTTTTTATAAGGAGCTGTAAAGTAGAAGAGAATTAGCATATTCTCAGCTCGACTGCTTTAAAATGTTGCAAATGAATCATGTAAGCCTCAAGTATAAGAGGGCAGCGATTCACTTCTGAATGCACTTAGTGCAATGTCAAGCAGTATTACAGGAACTGTATGAAGTATCTGTAATCCTTTTAATGCTTTTTCACATCTGCTGATATATCAGATGTAACTGATAGAACATAGGTATACTCACGTTATGTACCTTTATCTCAAATATACTTTGTTTTATGCACAATTCCAGATTTAATAAATAACTTTAATCAAAGGACATTATATAATGTCTCATTTGGAAACATATTTCAGTAGATCATTGAATTTAGTTGAGAGGACATATTACGCACATTTTCAGGTTCATATTTGTATTCTGTGCCTCAGTCTGCTCTGATTGGTTAGCCCCCCGGCTCTGTTGTGATTGGTCAACCACTTAAAGATGTCCCGCCCCTTAACCTAACACGTTCAATGTGTTGGAGCACTAGCCAATAGAAGCGCGGGTTTAACATAGTGATGTCATTAGGCGCGTTCACACCGCAGCACTTTTCCCACTTTAGTTCCGATATAGTTCCGAAATGTTGCGTTCACACCAAAAAAAGCCGGAACTAAAATGAGTTCATGAGAACCTTGTTACCCCCTTTCCCGTCCCTGCTAGAGAGCAGGGACTTTCGTGGGAGAAAAAGGTTCCTATGTCTGATTGCAAACCACTCCCCGTAAAACTCCCAAAAAGTGTTGTGAAGCCGCCATTTTATTATCCTCGCATTAGCATTATTAGCATTAGCCCAGCGCACAAACGCAGAGAGAATAACTTATGGCAACACAAAATAAAACATGGGAGCGGTGGAGTGATGAGGAGGTGTCGGTGTTCTGGCGATTTACTCGGAAGGCTTCAGTAGAAGCTGCTGGGAGTCCCAGCAGCTTCTACTGAAGCCAGTGGACTTCCGGCCGGGGACTTCGGGTGGCAGTATACGCCGTGAAGTTGTTTGCGGCCTGCCAGTAAACCCAAAGCAGAAGAAGAAGAAGTGACGTCAGCGGCTTAATTTGCCTAATCCTTCCCCAGGGGCTTATTCCGATGTGAATTCGATCTGTACTTAGATCTTGAGAACTAAGCAGTTCTCATGAACTAAGTTCTCATGAACCTTTGTGGGAAAAGCACTTCGGTGTGAAAGCGCCTATTATGTTGAGGAAGTAAACAAAGGAGTTCAATTGAGGCGTTTCAGGGAAGGGGGAGAGAGAGAAACGTTGGGATTGTTGTATTTTAAACATTTTGTTTAATTTGTATCATGTATTACAGTTGGGCTATATTAAAAGTAATGGATTTTAGTCCCTCATTAACTAGTAATGAAAACACATCTGTTCATTTAAACTCAGCTTTAACTGTCCCATCAGACTAATGGAGGAGTAATCATACAGAATAACAATTTTTAATTATGCTGGGATTAATGGATTTGATAACTCTGATAACTCTAATTTATCACTGGAAACTATCATCACAATAATAACGTTTAGTTGGTGAAGAAAGGTGTTTATTCAAAGTCTTTTTACAGATTTGAATGTACAGTCGTTTTTTTTACAGAGTTTGTTTGGTAGACGCTTTCCAACTGATTCAGCTCAGCCATGAAAGAAAAGTTTTGAAGGATCAATTATTCTACTGTAAGAGCAGGCAGGCAGATGGAAAAATCCAGCAGTAATCAGCTCACAGAAGTGGAAACCCACTGTGTCATTCAGCCCTCCCTGCTCTGCCTGCGGCTCCACGTCGCCCTGGCAACCCGTATTTTTGGAAAACCAAGATGGCCGCAGAGACCACGGCTTTCTGGCAGGGTGAGGGCGGCATCCAATCCCTGAGTCTCATCTCTGCGGCTGCGGAGGGTAACATAATGATATGAGGATGTCTCCACACACAGAGCCAGAGCTGTCCCAGCAGCGGGGCTCGGATTGATTTAAAGCAGGAAGTGTGCGTGTGTAGTGACCTCTGCAGCAAATGATCAGACACGATGAGTAAAATGGTTGGGATCAGGCTCTGTGCAGGATCTCCATTGATCCCAGTTGGCCCAGTCTGCAGGATACAGCTGGTCTCCATTAGAGTTTACACTCCTCCCGGTCTGGCTCTACTTCACTTTGCTGTATCTCAAAATAGTTTTCAATCTGAGTCAGGCTATCTATCTAATTTGTTTTCCCTGTAAAATCATTTTTTACTAAATGTGTCAGGGTTTGAGTGTTCAATATGTAGCCTAAACATGAAAAAAGGTAAAAAAAAAACTAAAATGCAAGAACAAAGAAAAGGATAGAAACAAAAATGAGTTGTTAAAAAAGGTGTGTCGTCAAATATTATATTGCATTCCCACTCCCGCAAGCATGTACTATCCATCCAACCACATCCATCTATCCATAGAACTATATCTATCTGTGTCAGACTTATCTGACTTTCTGCCATTGCCTCCTCCTCTCTGACTCACATTTTCCAGAATTACACAAATATCCCCAAGAAAAAGTAATGCCAGCCTAGTCCCTCCCTTGTAATGTCTGCACATGACCAGTGAGTGACAGATTGAGTACTGTTTCTGTTGTTTCATCTCTCATCAGAGCAGGAGAGATGTAACACTATAGTCAATATGTCTAACAGAGAAATCCCACAGCTGCAGATTGGGAGCCAAAATCAAAATGGAAACTGTTATTTTTCTACAGTTCAGGTATTGACAAAAACGATCAACACCATCCTATTGTTGCCTTTCCCCAAAACATACTATTTCCTCCTTGTACTTACAGTACTTCAGCCAAGATGTTGGATGCCCAGGCAATTTGGGACACTGCTTCAGACGTCTGGCGCCCCTTAGAGTCTCAAACATTTTAAGTATGGCTGTATCCTGTTGAGTCATCAGCAAACTAAGTCGTTTGCCTATGGCAGCTCCTTCATTACTGCCTCCAAATGAAATATCAGCCATTGTGTCCAATAAAATGGAATTTGCAGCCCATGCTCTAAGGTGCTTAATGCATTGATTGTTATATAAAGCATCAATTTGCAAGGCCATTTTCCGAGTACCTGCCCTAGTTTGCTTTGTGTGTGTAGAGCAATCTGATGGGGACATCTAGTGGTGGGGAGTGTGTATTGCATAGTAGAAAAAATATAACTGACAATACTGTTATAGTGATGGGACCATGTGACCTAATTTTAAATATTAACATGTATTTCATTATTAAAGAAGTATGATTTACAGTGCATATTCTGTTTTCAGTTTGGGAACTTCTATATGTTTCTTACAGTAAAAGTATTTAATACAAAGTTTAGCCAATTGACGTTAAATGGTCAACATAGTCATGTGTTAAAAAACAAGCACTGTCTCTCAGCAGCTGCTCAGATATATACACACACACACACACACACACACACACACACACATTTTGAGCACAATCAGCGCACAATTGATTGACTAATTTATAATGGAAAGAAACAAGCTATAAAAACAACTTCCTGTGTGGGTGTTACATAAGACTGTAATTATAGCCGTTTAATCAATGGATTTGCCTTAAGCTTGCATGTGAATTAATTGTTGAGAAATTATTTTCAAAAGTGTGCTTCAAAAATAGAAATAAATGTCATGTTCTTCTCTTAACAGATGATTCTAAAAATACATCTCTATGATGCAGCAAAGTGAATAACTAACTACATTTGAAAATGCTTGGAGGAGACAGACTGTTCCTTTGTAGCGATAGAAAGAAATAATAATGGTTTATATTGACTCAAATAGAATAGTTAAACTACTATTTCTATCTAACATGTCTTACCCAGTTTTGAGTTGAAGAGTCACATTTACTGTGTGTTCACATTCAAAATGTCTTGGTGCCTATTAGCACTGACCAGGGACATTTTGGATATGGGGCCTCATATATCTGAAATAGCAGCATTCCCTGAAGATTAAAGAGCAATTCACTGTATCAACCCCCTAAAAATATTACTTTTTCTTACTTCAAATGCTTTAATTGACCAATTCCCTACAGGTGAAGCACAGATGTTCT